TCTTAATTTTTTATTTTCTTATATTTTTATAATATATTTATTTTCTTAGTTATGTTTATAGATTATAATTTAGTAAATATTCTTTTTATATAAAGACAAACAATTTATATATATATTTCAAGTAATTATTTGTTCTTTTCATTTTATAAGTAAAACATTCTTGTAAATTGCATTGCAATGAATAGGGTAGGTTGATAAGTTGCGTGGGGACGAAGTCCCCTCTATTCGCAATTTCTAGTTATATAGTTCGAATGATTTTTCTTTTAATTTTTTTTTTTTTCATTTTATTTTGATCAAGGATCATAATATTTTTTAATTTAAGTTTGTTTGTATTTTTTTTTTTTTTTTTTTTTTTGATCAATCACTTTATTTTATTCATTTTTTCTCAAATAAGCAAAGTATCGTTTAATTTTACGCTTAACTCTTTTTTATATTAAATAGATTCGATTTTTTATAGAATCAATTCCAAACCCTAATCCCAAATAACACTTCGGATTTCAAATGACCCTTTTAAACTTTTATTTATTGTAATTACCACTTAAAATCATTTCAAATGATCACAGACACATAGGAATTAACTTTATTTGTCCAAAAGTTGAATTACTATTAAGATCCCTATATTTGTTATTAGGAATCGAAATGATAATTTTGAGATAACTGAAGTGGCTATTCGAGACAATTAAAAGTGATTCTTGGGGTATGATGAAGTGAGCATTTGGATATTATTCGATGAGGTCATTTGGGATATCCGAAATGTTCATTTGGGATGCTCATTTGGGGCAAATACTTGAAACGATCTTCGCATTTTGGATATCCAAATGCGCATTCCGATTTGGGATATCCGAAATGTTCATTTGAGATGCTCATTTGGGGCAAATACCTGAAACGATCTTTGCATTTTGGATAGGATATCCGAAATGTTCATTTGGAAATTTGGCTACAAAAGAATAATACTACTGTATATATATGTATGAGGATTATAGATCATCATCAAACCTTTTTGCCATTTTTTTTTTTAAAAAAAAAAGGTAATAAAAAAAGGTAAATGAAAAAAATATTAACCTGTTTCATGGTAAATTTAATTTTAGGTATTTTTTATTTTCCATTAGGAAAATAAAGATGCGGGCGAAATGACTTCAAGAGGTTAGCTACAACGTCTGCTTGAATAAAATATTCAATTTAGATAAGGAGGAGGAATACTATGTGGGTACGGTACGGCTGATCAGTAATATTGATATCTATAATAAAGAAAATTAAAGTTAACCTTTTTTTATTAATAAAAAAAGAAATTATAATCATTGACGCATGATGGATTTGTAATTATCAGTACGGTATGATTTTGCAGATCGGTACGATCCTTCAAACTTTGACCATACTGGTTCTATAGAATTATTGAAACCAGCACGATATATTTGGATAAAGTACCGTACTGGTCATATAATAATGTAGAACCAGTAAGTTACCTATCTGCAAAATCATACCGTACTGATCAGCCGACATGATAATCTAAATATCGAGAAATATTATATATAGGGACCAATTCTCCTTGAACTTTCAAAAGCAATAATAATTAATTATCTAACCAAGCCTTCATTTTATCCTTAACCCTAGTGGCCTTATCTCCTTTCTAGCACACATTTCCTTATTACACCCCGTGGATCGAAATAAAAAAAAAAAGTCAAACTTTTGTAGAAAAAAAATTAAAACAATTCAAAAATGGTTGCTCCACGCTTCACCTTTTTCTTAATTGCTGTGCTAGTTGCATTCTTGGTCTCCTATGTTGAACCGACAGGAGACGTTGAATGTCCACCCAAAATCCAATCCGAACAATACGTTAAAGAAAAAACTGAAAAATTTATCGTTATCTTTAAAAATGAACCTTCTGCTAAAAAAGAAGAATCGATTATGGCAAAGCATTATAAGATCATGAAGGAATGTTATAACAAGCGTGTTGAACACGTACTCGAAAGAAAATTATCACCTAGTAGTAAAGATAATGACGTTCTTAGAGAATTCTCTATCGGCACCATCCAAGGATATTCCGCAAATTTTGGGAACTCTTTCGTGAAAAAACAACTTACAAAAATGAAAGGTCTCGCTATCATTGAAAAGGATGCTGAAGTCAAAATTAATTATGCTGTCCCCCAACTTTATAAACGTACAATAGTAAAAAACCCAACACCAAATATTGATCGTATCGATCAAGCTAAACGTCCCTTGGACAATTCATTTACATTCCCGGATACTGCTGGAGAAGGAGTTAACATTTTTATAATTGACACTGGTATTTCAACCACGCATAGCGAATTTGAAGGTCGTGCCAAGAGCTTGAGTGCTTTCTGTGATGGTTGTAATGAAGATGATGAAAATGGTCATGGCACCCACGTCGCTTCCATTGCTGCAGGAAAAACTTTAGGAGTGGCAAGAAAAGCCAACCTCATTTCTGTTAGAGTTTTGAACGCTGACGGTGCTGGCAAAAATTCCGATGTTATAAATGGTCTTTCCGCTGTATTTGAACAACACGCGAAGGGTAAAAACAAGAATTCAGTTGTTAACATGTCGCTCGGAGGTGGCTTCTCGCTAATCATAAACGACGCCGTCCAGATGCTTACCGATAATGGCATTCATGTCGTTGTCGCCGCCGGTAATGATGGTGCAAATTCTTGTCAAAGTTCACCTGCATCTGCTCCTTCCGTTATCACCGTTGGCGCTACCGAAGCTAATTCTGATGACATTGCAATATTTTCAAACTTTGGAAAGTGTACTGATATTTTCGCTCCAGGTGTTGATATTACTGGTGCTGACTTTAGTAATGATAAAGGTGAAGTAAGTTTTTCTGGTACCTCCCAAGCTAGCCCACATGTTGCTGGTACAATAGCCCTTGTAATTTCCAAGGATGGTAACCAATCCCCAGCTGAAATGGCAAAGTCGATCGTCGATTTATCAACCAAGGGTGTTGTTAAAGGTCTCGATGCGAAAACTCCAAACATGTTCTTGCGTGTTCCAGCTGCTTAAATTAAAAAAAAGTTGTAGAAATTTTGAGTTTCCCCTGGCTCGGCCAGGCCCCACCCCCCTCAAATCCCACAAACGTGTTTATGAAATAAAAATATACCTACATTTATTTTTCTTGTACTAAAACATTCCTTTTAAATAAAATTTAATTTTTTAGTTTCTTATAGAATAGGAAAAATAAAAAAACAATTTGTAATAGAAAATATATATATACAGAATATTAAAATAATAAAAAGTGCAAATTTGGAGAATAACAATTATCTTCCATTTAAAATTAGATCGATAAATAATCGAATTGATGAAACTGATTTTTTACTTATAAAAGTAGGTAAATAACTTCACGTTAAATTTATTTACCCATCAGAAATAATAAAATGTAGGAATTCAATCTTTCTGATGTATACTGACTAATAAAAAATTGCTTCTTCCTTCTTTTATGACTATTGATAATTTTTCTTTTTTTCTAAAAAATAATTGAAGAGTTTCCAAATTTTTAACGCACTCGGCAAAGTTTAAAAAACATACATGATAAAAAATACATTAGCACAAAAAATGTGTAAATAGACTGATTTTGAATATTGAAACTTTAGAAATCAATTCATATAAAATACTTGCTGAAGCAAAAAAAAATTTTTATTACTTTTAAAAAACTAAATTTAACTTTAAAATAAAAATCATTATCTTAATGGTGTATCTGGAGCTGGAAATTCATTAAGTCCGTTCTGAACAAGAACATTCTGTTAAACATGAAACAAGCGAATGTTAATACATAAGTTAATTTAAATTGGATGGTTAAATATATTAAATTTGGATTCCATCTAACATGATTTATCGCATTTACTTTTAACTTATTTTATATTTTGACTCGGATTGTTTTTATTTTCTCTAATATAATTTATTTTAATTAATTCGCGCATTTTCTTATTCTTAGTTTTGTTGAAATTGAATAATCAATAAACTTCGGGCTGCATGGCTTCAAAATAGAAGTACAGTAAGTAACGTCAAGTTTTTTGAAATTAAAGTTTACATAAACTATACGTCATCATTTGTGAACAGTTATTTAAATTTATGCTATCGTTATATACAATGCTTCAAATAGAATATTGTCAAAGTAAAAGGACAATACGATATGGAATAAAATCTACAAAATATCAATCTCAAATTACAGCATAAAATTTGCACGATTCAATACGAGACTTCAATACGATTCTATGTTTTTATAGCGCTATTACTCATTCAATATGTATATCCTTGTTGAAGAATGTTTATTATTTTAAAAAAAAAATACGATTTGCAACATCCGACACTATTTGTATTGCATTCTTAAGCTTTATCATCAATTTTAATACAAAAAAAAATTGCATTCAATTTACTTAAGAAATAACATTTAGTCAATTTTCATAATTCTTAAGTTTCAATGAAAATGAAATATAACTTTATGTTTCATTGACGTATTTAATTTGAAGTCTTCAAAATACAATAAAAATTTTCCTGGAAAAATAAAATAAATGATATTTTCATAAATTTTTGCGTAAATATGAGCCGCGAATAAAAAAGATAATCTTTTTCTGACAAAAGCTAGGTTTAATACTTTATTTAAAATAAAGATATTTTTACTAATGTATCATGTAACATTATTTCTTTACAATTGATTAAACTAATTTTTTAAATTTATCAATAAAATAATTTATTCCTGAGATTTCCTAGAATAATAAGTTGATCTTATACAATTCAAAATACTTATGCTTATGCAATCCCTACTTCCTAAATTTATATATAACATCAAAGTAAAAAAAAAGGCAATCTTGAAAAAACTAAAGCACGAAATAAGAATTTACATTTAATGTAAATTTACAGAATTTGAAAATCAACGAGAATTGGATTTTCATTGCAATGTCATCCGTTAAGATTAAGTCATAACCCTTAAAATAATTAGTTAATTAAATACATATATTTTGACTTTTTTCATTGTATTTTATATAATTTAAATCATAAAAAAAAAAAAAATAGAAAATCAAAATGATCAATTGAAAGAATTTTGGTTGATAATGGAATATGCTGATGGCGGTTCTCTTAGAGCAAAAGTTTAAAATAATCTCTATTCTGTTATACTAGTACGCAGTAAACGGACGATATTTGTAATTTTCATAAGATGCACTAAACGGATCAAAGATCATTTATTTACTGTACACAAAACTTTAAATGTGGTACATGGTTTAAATTTAGTTATATAACTTTCCCAATTAAAGGTTTCTTTAATTTTCTGTAAATATGTACTTAGAAAGTTTGCAGGATGATTATGAAAATTTATTTGAAAATGACAAAAATTATGATGTCATTATTTATGCCGGTGAAAATGAAAACATTAAAGAACTACATGCCCTTTCAAATATTTTATGTTTCAGGTCGAAATATTTTTATGATGAATTAACTAAAGAAAGTGTTGAGGTTGAGAAGAGGGAAGGGAAATTTATTTTAAAAATACCAAACATTCCTCCAAAAGTTTTTAAAATAATCTTAAGGTAAATAAAGTACAACAACTATGTATATGGTATAATCCAAGTTGCTAAAATCTCTTAAAATTTCAGATTTATTTATTGCGGAAGGATTGACATGACGAAATTTGAAGGAACTGAAATATTAAAGCTTCTAAACGCAGCAGATGCACTTAATCTCCAATCTTTAGCTACTGGAATTGAAGATTGTTTAATTAAAGAACATCGTGAGTTTTTACAAATAAATCAAATAGATATTCTTGAAACAATTTATCAAAAAGAGTCTTTCACGAAATTAAAGAATATTTGTTTTGAAAATATTTGTAAAAACCCCGAAGAACTTTTTAATTCTGAAAAATTTGTCAGTTTAAAAGCACCCTTATTAGAATTCCTTTTAAAGCGGGATGATTTAAGTCTGGATGAAGTTGAAATTTGGAATAGTTTAATAAAGTGGGGCTTTGCTCAGAACACGTTTCTTCCTAAAGACGTCAAAGACTGGAGCAACGAAGAAACTACAGTTATGGAAAGAACTCTTCATAGATATATACCTTTAATTAGATTTCATCATATTTCTTCAGGAGATTTTCTTGAAAAAGTACTTCCATTTAAAGAATTACTACCGAAGGATTTGTTTGTTAACCTCTTAGAATATACTTGGGTTCCAGAAAAGAAACTAGATATAAATATACAACCACCTAGACAGTCAAAATGCGATTCAATCCTAGTTAACTCTCAGCATTTTGCTATATTTTCCGGTTGGATTGATGAGAAAGAAAATAATGGCAAAAAGACACCTTATGATTTTAAATTACTTTATCGTGCCAGTAGGGATGGTAATACAATTGCAGCATTTCATCAAAAATGTGATAACAATGGGGCCAATATAGTTGCAATAAAAATCGCAGGAACGGAACAAATAGTGGGAGGATATAATCCACTTGTATGGGATCAATCCAATAATTTTAAGTCAACTAATGATAGTTTCATATTCTCATTCGTAAATAGAATAAATCTTCAGACTGCAAAAGTAGGTTATATTAAGAACTGTCATGCTAATAATGCTGTATATTGTCATACATATCATGGTCCATATTTTGGTAATGGTGATATTTATTGTTATAATGATATTTGGTATTCGAATAACCCAACTTCTTATTATCAAATTGATATTCAAGAAGGCCAGCTTCAAGTAGATGATTATGAGGTATTTCGAGTTAATAAAAGATAAATAAATGCATGCATATTATACTTAAAATCATCATCAATGCATTTTCTTGTGATTTACAAACAAATGTGTTATACTTTGTTTTCTAATTTCAATTTCGGAATTTTAATGAACTGAGTTGGTTTATCATAGTTGCAATTAATTAACCTGTCTTCATCATAAAATGAATTGATACGAAAGGTGTAGAGTCCCGTGAAGGTGATGGGTGGCGTACATCACTCATGCGACATCACTCAAGTGATGAATTAGATTAACCGATCAAAATTATAATAATGCGAACTGGAAGTGATATAAGTAACTTTACTCCCAGTATCACGTAATCATAATAAACATCCACGGGACGGGACTCTACACCTTTTCGTTTTTCCTAGTTTAATCAGGTATAAAATTAATTGGTTGCTACTTTAAAGAAATGTTTTGCCTGTGTTAAATCATAAATAAGCCAACTTGAACTTGATATAATTAAATAAGTTATTACATATAAATCGACTAATAATTTAATTGAAAACCGCAAAGGAACGACGCAATTAAGTTTATAATTCCCTGATTTCTATGTTAGATTTTGATAATTGTCGTAATTTATTATAACAACTAATTTTACAATCTATTAAAAAACTAAAATGATTATGTTAATTAGGTATGCTATCATTATTGATTTTCTCTAATTATAGTTATTTCCAAGATTTGGCACCAGCGCAGTCCAGAAATTATAGCATATTTTTTCGGCACAACACTGCACAAAAACTGTAAAGAATCTTTTCATTTAGGCAACTATATATGATAATATTAGATGCTGTTAAGATTTATGCATCAACGCAACAATCACATTCATTTGTAGATCTGTATAATAAAAAATACAATATCAACATAAAAAATTTTGATAATGTTAGATTAAAAAAAAATTTAGTAAAAAATGCTCAGAGACCCATTTTCCTAGCAAACCTCCCATATGTTATTTAAATACAATTTATTCGACCCCTTTCCTTTTATTTGTAACGATAACGAAAGTATAATAATAAATTACGTATCTGATCGTATAGAGCGCCGAAGATTGAGGCAATACCTTATTTACGTAGATTTATGTTAGATTTCATTTGTTATTAATAAAGACACTTAAATATATAAACCTTCTACTTACCTTTTCTATTGTTTATAACCAATAAACGTTTCGAACTGCGTGCAACACTATGATTTGAGTTTTATCCATACTGCCTCATTCACTTCTAGCGCAGGGCTAAACTTGGGGAAAGCCTTTTACCAGCTTGTTTTTATATCACCTGTAAAATTTCCAGGAGAAAGCACTATCCGGATTTTCACTAGCAAATATGCTCCGCATTTCGTCGTTTGTAAACCTCCTTAAATATCAATAAAAATGGTGAAACCAGAAAAAATATCCATACCTGAATATTATTTTTTTGATATGATAGTAGCGTGGCCGGAGACATGACATGCAAAAATAAATGCAAATCGAGTCGAAAAAAATAATACGAATATAATATATAAATGATAAGTCACACAGCGCCTATTATTCGGTAAGAATTTTACCGGCGCATTTCACATGACGAAGTTTCTATGTAAAATAGGAAACATCGACCACCAGGGATATAAATTACATGATTTGGTTTTAAAGTAAAATGATGTTTCTTTAAAGTCCACTAGCTTTCATTTGTCTAAATCAACATATTACACTTTTGATTGTTAAGCAAAATATATTATTTATTATATTAACGCAAAGTATTACATGCTTTTATTACATGATTGTATAAGGAAATAAGAATTATATAAAAAAACATTCAGATTTTTGTAGAAAGAGAGCTGAACCATTACCTGACGAATTAGAGAAGCGTAATATAATTGATTTGAAGTTCTTGTAATCCAATTATATCAATAATATAATACCGGATTTGGACTGGTGAATACGAGAACTCTGATTCCGGGCAATGTACCCTGAAGCCACCCAATGAAATGTTGAGCTTGACCCAAAGCACCTCGTCCGTTGAATATCCATGCGTGATTAATACCCAATAAACCAACTAACGGAGCAGTGGGAGGCGGGGGATTGCCACCTGGCGGGTAAATATTTGCCGGAATTGTAACATTCACAGTGCTTAAGTCGGCAACAACATATAGTGGATCGACGATCGCACGAATGTCGGGATTTTTGTAAAGATAAGTTGCGAAATCTTCGCAAATACTGGCATATAGTTGAGCTCCTTCAAAGTTTTCTCCAGCCCCGTCAACCGCTGGTCTACCCGCTAGAAGTTTCGCAATTGGAGTCACATCTTCTTTCGTCCAAGACGACGATGGCTTTCTTAATAAGATGGTCAAAGGTTCTACGAGAATTTTTCCTGAAAGAAGACAAGCTTACTTAATTATTTGGACTTTGTATTACTTGTATTAGAGACATACAAAAAAAAATATTGTACCGGGTAGTGGGATTGGATTTGTTATTGCATTACATTGAATATCCTCTTCTGCAAGGCACACGGCTTCGTAGGCTACTTTTTGACTTTGTCTAAAAAATAAAATTATAGTTATGTAACATATTATTTTTCTAATAAATCAGAATCTACTTACGAGTTAGAACTAGTCATCTTAAAGAATGATGGAAATGTGAAAAGAACTTTATTATTCGCGTATATAATTTTGAAATGTGAAAAGAACTTTATTATTCGCATATATTTTTATAATTTCAGAAAAAACAGGGTAGAAAAAGAGAGAACTGAGGAATCAATTCGCGTGTTGGAATTGTTTATAAATAGCTATCAGCACGTGATTTTCGGCCAAAGCACCACAGCCACTTGTACTACAATCGAAGTTACGTTAGTTTTTTAGTTTTAAAAATAAAAAAATTTTTTCATTACAAATAAAGTCTTATGTGAGCAAAATCTTTTTAATATTTAGAAGTGAGCGCAAATGCTATGAAATAAATGGTTTATCAAAGAGGGAGAGAGAACTCGGATCCTAAGGAGTCACAGCATCTTTGTTTTCTCACATTTAACTATAACTAATTTGTTTCTATCACTATCACTAATTACGAGGTGATTCCTTTGGAATCGATTCTCACACACTTTTCTACAAACACGTAATACTATATCTACAAACTTTTCCACTAGCACAGATTATATAAAAAGTTCCGATTTTAAGAACTTTCCCGATATTAAGCTATAGGAAGTATTCCAGAGATTATTAATGGCCTTTTCCAAACACACTTACCTCTATACTTCATTTTCACATAACTCCATTCCGCCTCATATACAAGAAATTTATTACTTAGTTTTCTCTGCGTTATCAACTGAACGATCCTGTGCCAAGCATCAAGAATTCGGATACAATTACGGTTGATATACTACGCCATCACATCACATCACATCACATAATATAATATAAGAAGGAAGTGGGGGCGGGCTGAAATTACAGTCATGTGATTTTTTTCCTTCCGTATTCTCTGCGCCGATGAGGCACATGCTAACGATCACGATTTTCTCGGCAAATATCAAATGTTAAAAAGATCAGGAATGGTAATATGTCCGCTTTGACTTTAAGCACCTAGCCGAAAAAAAATTGATTAATATCGTGACGATGTTTTTCTAGAAGCTAGCCGAGCAATAAAACCAGCCTATCTTATTATAACTTTGGGGAAAATACGAGTTCGTTTGATTGTTGATATCGATGATGTTAATAATAATAAGTTTTATTTTCGTTCGTAAGGCAGATAAAAGGGTTCAATAACCGGGACATTACCTTTTTATATAATTCGCAGGATCGATTTTGGAATACTCTTTTGGAAGGAAATTACTTGTTCCCTGGATACATGATGTATAAAGTTACTGCGCATTTATTTATTAAGTCCAGATTGCATATTCGATTACAACTTTCATATAGGACGAGATTTATTTTATCCAAGTGGGACTTTATTTTTTAAGTGCACCACCGTCGGCATATTCCATTACTAACCAATACTTTTTCAATTAGACATTTTTATTTTCAATTTCTAATTTTTTAAAAAAATTATAAATGAATTAAAAATAAATAAAATTAATCTTTAATAAACTTGATTATGAACATTACATACTTTGTTTTGAAGTTATCCCATAAAAGCGAATATTATTACAAATTTATTATATAAATGATATGATTTTATGCTAAACAGTCTGAAAAAAGATAGACACAATTTATATTTATAATTACCTCACGAATTATTTCTTTAACAGTGGGATTGTTAAAGTTATGAAACGATTTTAACGCAAAAGGTGGTTTTGAACTTTTCCAATTTGCACGATAGACTTTTCCAAAACTTTACTAAAATGGTTGTATTCGTAGTATTTGACATTTTTGCTTGAAATATATTTTTCGATCCTATTAATCCACTCATTTGAATCATTTACAACTTGCATTTTGAACCTTTTTTTCATTTGTTTATAAAGAAATGAAAAAAAAGAATCTTGAAGCAAAAAAAAAATTATGCACTTGGTAAATCATGACGTTAATAAAGTTTCTAAGCCACCGTTCAATTGTGCTGCGAAACAATATAAAAATGCAAAAATGAATTACAACTTGTTGACACGTGATTTATGATTAATTATCTTATTCCAAAATTTCGAAAATTTATTGAAAATTTCGGGAACACAATATTATCAGTTATTTATTTATTGATCAATCTAAGTGATAACGCTTAAATGCTAATCGAATCCAAATAAATCATACATTTTTCAAGAACATCTTCAGTCATCCTATTTTCTATTTGAGAACTAATAATTTCAGTCCAATAAATAAAATGACTTTATACTCGGTAAAATCAAACGTTAGATATTTTGTGTAACATTCATTGGCAATATTTTTTTCAAAAACTAATTCGATGTGCAGGTTTTGTTTGCATTAATATGTCGTTTGTTAATGTACTTCCTTTAAAAAAAGATCGAATTTTAGTTGAGAGCTGAGGTTTAAGATTTTATATTAATTATGTCTTCAATAACCTAATGCGAAGTGAGTGTGAAGCGATGTGACAGATTAAGTATAAGTCACATGATCTGAGATTTTTTTTTGATATTTAAAATAATTTTTTTTTTAAATTTGCTATAACCATAATTCTAATAATACCCTAATCCATCTGCTAATTCACTTATGCAAAGAACATAGAAATATCAAAAACTTCATAACACCATTTAAAGGAGACGAGTTAAAAAAAACTACGTGTATTGAAATCTTCAAGATTTCGAGAAACCTATTAAATTCTGTGAATGATTTCTTTTTATTGAATTTATTCCTTGCAAATTAAATTAATATTTTTTTAATAAAACATTGAGGCGTGCGTTGCTATCCTTGAAATGTATCTATTTTTATAACTTGTGGATACGAATGCAAGATTTAATTCATCAATTGAATGAATCTTTAAATTAGAGATTGGATCAATTACAATAAGTAGTATCGATTACATAATTAATTGTGATTTCTATAATTCGAATTTCGGTTTCTATTAATCCATTCTATTTATGTCGTAACGTAACGATTTTAATTACAAATTGAATTAAAAATATTTTGCATTTTAGGCCGGGCAAAATAAATTTATAGATTCTCGTGAAATAAAATTTTAATATGGACACGGTCACCCGATTATTATTTTTATATATAATTTTTTTTTGTATGTACTATATATTCTACTGTAAGTTAAATTTTTTATAATAAAGTATATGCCACCACACCATTACGATTTTCATTATATAAAGTCTCGTGAAAAAAAATTTTACTATAAAAAAGAATCTTGAATTTTTGTAAAAATTGAGGCGACCGGGTCACGAAAATCCAAAAAAAATTTTTCCCGGCCTTACATTGTGGCAAATTAATATTCAATGCAGCTTAAAATTCTCAAAAAAAAAATTTATTAAATGATATCTTTTCCTTTATTGTTGTGAAGCAATTTAGAATTCTTTTTTTTAAAAAATAAACTTCCTTTGCTTTTAAATTAATATTCTTTTTTTTCTTTGCTACGCAATAATCAAATTATCTATAATTATTTATAAATCAATAGATTCTTGGATATACGCGCGGTAGGTGTATTTTAGATAATAATTAGTTTATTTATTTAAATTTCTGCGATTAAAACCCTTTTGTTAATTTTTCTTAATTTTTTAATTAATTACTTACGCTTCCAGCATACGGAGTATATTTAGTTTTATAACTTTTTTTTTTGCTCATTGACATTATAATTGTTTTCTCAAATTTAATTGATTTACAAATTATTATAAAGGTACTTAGCTTTCTTTAGCCGCGCACTTATTATACCACTAAATATAGAATTTTGAATTTGATTAAAATGTTGGTATGTTTTCGATGCAAATGAAACATGCTTGATTAATATTAAGGTTTTATTCAAATTCTAAAATATGATTTATCATTTGACAAAACATTCCGCATTTGGATATTCTCAAACAATTTTATTAATGAGTTCTACAAAAAATCAAATCGTTTAGCGTAGTGAGACTATTAGTAATCATGTTAATTATCAAATGAATTATTAGTTTCCATCTACTAAAAATATTAGGAAAGATTATTAAAGGAGCTCACCTATAATTTCTTCGATCTAATTAATCTAATAATATATATATACTTTTTTATAAACCAGTCAATTGTCTTCTCAATGGTGCACCGCATAAATTATTGAAATTTGTTGAAGTATCACATTCACTATTTGAATAAAATGTCATCTGAAATAGTAATAATAAATGAATTTATAAAAATTTTCAACATAATGTCTATAAAATACTAACTATAAAATAGTGTTAATAATTATTTAAAATTAAATGTTAGATAATATTAAAAAAACAAAATGATGTAAATACCACCTTTATTCACCGAATTAATGTTTTAAGTTAAATAATTTCATTTGTAAAAATATGTAAAAAGCCAACGCTGCGATATGTCTTTAGCTTCTTCACAATTTATAATATATTTATATCATTATTCCATTATAACATTGGGATCTACTGGAGGAGGACAAAAGTATTGCACGGTTTTGATTTAGATATTTTAGTTAATTTATCATATGTAACTAAGCCATATTTTTTT